ATCACTATTATGCACTACATGAGCAATATACCTCGAGCACCATTTTCTTAGCATCTTTCTAGCCTTTACACTGCTAATCAACATACTAAGTTGGTGGTCCTCGCCGAAATTAAACTTATTACCACCATCAAGATTAAATCTTTCTTTCTTATTCTGGCAATCAATCTCTACTCCAAATCTCCCCAAGAAATCCATGCCCAAAATAACATCAAAATCGGGCATATCAAACACTATCAAATCCACTGGCAACTCCCTTCCATGGATCACTACGAACTCTTCTGGAAGCATCTCCTTAGTTACGACACTAACACCATCTAGTAACTCTTTCATAATAGAGTAGTTCTCAACCTTTTATTTTGCCAAACCCACACGTTCTTCTTGGGTTGAAATCTTTTCTTATTTCTCACCTCTCTATTATTGGGGGCATTAGCTTTAACAGTGCTGTCGTACGCTTCACAGACCTAAACCACTTTTTTGCCATTATAGGGTCCGTCGTACCCTTGAATGCTGATGGTTGATGTTGACTAGGCAATCCATATATTGGCTCAATACGATTCTACACTATTAAGGGTACCGGCGTCTCTCTCTCCTCTCTGGGGGTCGGTATATTAACTTGGGTCTCAACTCTCTCCAGTATCGAGCCTCTTTGAGTCTCTACCAAGACTTACTGTATAATTACGGATCCTCGCTTCATCGAGGATAAGAGAAGTAAATTCTGACGGGTTGGAAGGTTCACCCGTACTCATTGCCATCTTATTGCCTGCTTAAGTTCTATGTCTCATCTACATAACACCAATACTTTTAATCAACACAATGAACTCATCTACTACAAGTAAGGAAATAAATAACTTACAGCGGTCGGCTACAGAACATCAGTGCGGCAGGAGAGGCACACTGTCAAATCCCAAAATCTTTACTCTGATACCAAAAATGGAATGACTCTCTCTCTAGCTAGTATAATCGTAAAACAAACAGTAAAACTCACTAAATATATATATTACGAAAATATACATGTAGATGAGTATAAAATAATAGGCCTAATTTTTCTATATATATACAAAACTATACATAGTGTAAATAAATTTCTCAAGAAGCTCGATAGTATTGCCCGACCCTTCCGCATCTTGACATTCCAAGCGACCGCATCTCATCTACTGCATACAAAAACATTGAAAACAATGGGGTGAGCACTAATTGCTCAGTAAGTAAACCCGCTATGCTACCCTTCTATCTTCGTTGCTCATATTCTAAACTCTTTCCTTACATCACACTTCTCTCTTCTTCTCTGTTCTTTTCTATTCTTTTTCTGTTCTTTCTCTATTCTTTTTCTGTTCTTTCTCTATTCTTTTTCCGTTCTTTCTCTATTCTTGTCTCTCACTTACTAACATGTAAGCACAATTGGAGAAACTAATTCAGAATAATATGAATGCCATGATGCGTGTGCATAAATGCATAAAGAATGCAATTTCTTTTCTGTTTTTTGTTTCTCTTCTTTCTTTCTATTCTGTTCTTTCTTTCTGTTTCTCTCATTTCTTTCGTTCTATTCTTTCTTTCTATTCTTTCTTTCTTTCTTTCTTTTCTATTCTTTCTTTCTTTTCTATTCTTTCTTTCTATTCTTTCTTTTCTATTCTTCTTTTCTTTTCTATTATTTCTTTCTTTTATTTCTTTCTATGCCGATCGGACTCGGTTGAGGCATGGATTTGGAACCCTGGCCATGTGAGTGGGTACAGTCTTCATCCACATGCACTTCTATCGGACTCTACAACTCTTTTTTCTGATTCTGAGGTCGCTCAATAAAGGCGACATGCATGTAGGTAAATTCTGTTGGTACAGTTCTCATCCACATACACTTCTAACGAACTGTACACTTACTTCTTTCTGATTCTGAGGCCGCTTATTGAAGGCAGCGTGTATGTGGGACTATTCTTCTTTGTCACTCATGGGTTCCCTATCGCAACAACCTTCTCTTCTCTTATCTTTTTACAATTAATTATTTTCTTTCTTTTTCTTTACTATTCTCATCCATGTGTATGTGCATGTGCATGGAACTATGCTCATTCTTTGCTATTCTTTCTAAATGCAAATGTGAGAATGTGAGAATGCACTATGGCATATAAAAATATCATTAGAGAACTAATATTTTCTACCAACAACATTCCTATACTTGAAATCAATCATAGATTATTAGACTACAAAATATTTTGAGGTAGTCATTCTGCACGAGTCATATTCAAGAAGGCATATCTCGAGTTATACGTATCGGATTGCTACGATATTGGTCTTGTTTTAAAGCTTAGAGACAGGGCTACAAATTTTATGTTTAGGTCTCAACCCAGTTCAATTGGTAAGATGCCCAAAAATCACTCAGAATGTCACGGCTGTGAAAGGGCAACCATGGTAACATGTTTTCTCTTAGGATTTTCATCAAACAAATTGCATGCATACTCAAACTCTATTTGGCTACACTTCTACTTCTTTCTCAAGCCACCAATATTTGGAGCAAAACTCCATTAAATCAAGACTAAACTTGGCCAGGAAACTACACTCCATAAAGTCTACTCAAACTCTTTCTAAATTCAACCAAACTTCGATCAATCACCATATAGACAAAGTCTACATTCTCATTGCTACGTGCCTCGATGTGGGCGTTACAAATAATGTATTACTAAAACATGACTTATAAAATAAGAAATCAAAACAATAGTTTTTGTAACTACACCTCTATTAAGTTATAACCTCCTCATAATAATAAAATTAGTTGATCCTACCATTATGACTATAATGAGGTTTTATTGTATTATTCCCATTAACAGGAAATGAGGTTGATTTTTTCTCATTTTGATTGTTTCGGGGGTCAAATACACGTCATTTGGGTTGAAATTTATTACAAACAATGTTCTGAAACCCAGACCAGATCGGGAGGTCGAACAAGTCGGACCGGGTTTTGGTGAAATTCTGGGTTGTGAAGAGTAAAAAACCAGGATTCTGAGTTAGACCATTTTAAACCATGGTTGGACTGTCTTACTGTAGCAAACTGACGGTCCAACTGGTATAACATCCAAAACCGGTCTAACCTCCCATCCGGTCCACTAACAAATTGAAAACTATTTTAATGAAAAGCAAACCCTAAAGTCAAAGTGTCAAACCCCCAATTTTTTTAAGTTTAATGCATTTTTATTTTTGCTTTTGCGGTTCAGCTGCGGCACTGCTACTTTGCTCTGTGTGCGATCTCCTTCAGCTTGGCCCTCCTCCAGTTTACTTTTTCTTTTTTAGTTTGGCCCTCCTCCAGTTCAGTTCAGTCCTCCTCCTCCATTCGTGATCTCCTTTCGCTTCAGCCTTCAAGTGTGAATCAGCCTGCTTCTTCGGTTTGCCTCCTCCAATTCAGTTCGCGATCTCCTTCAGCTTCAACCTTCAAGTGTGAATCAGCATGCTTATTCGGTTTTCCTCCTCCAGTTCAGTTCACGATCTCCTCCATTCGCGATCTCCTTCAGCTTCAGCCTTCAAGTGTGAATCAGCGGTCAGCCTGAATTTTTCTGTCTTCTATTTCATCATGATATTGTATATTTGTTACATTTGTATTATTGTGGATATGTGAATATGATGTGAAATTGTGAATCATTGAATCTGTCAATTTAAATTTTGAAACTCTTAAAACTGATTTCTTATTGTGAATCTATCATGTGTCAATTGAATTTCTGAAAGACTGAAACTGTAAAATGTAATTTCTCATGGGAAATTAGAAATTGATTGTGAAAGTTTCATCATGAAGCTTCATTACAGGATCAGAATAATTGAAAGTGGGAGTTTATTCATGCTGTGATAAACTGATAAATGATAATAACGTAGATGTATTTTCAATTTTCATATAGTTTTTCTTGGCTTCACTACTGGAATTTGGTGAATAACAATAGCCAGCAGGTGTGCTTGTAGTTGCTAAGAATACTAAAATTTTTATTAACTTTTATAAGACGCTAATGGCATCTCGATCACATTATGATCAGAAATTCAGAACACGCGGTAGCTGCTCTTATTTACTATCACTTGTTACTTGTATATTAATCTTGGCCATGGCTTATGAAATATGAATTAAAATTGAGTTATGATCAGAAAGTGTTTTCTATTGAGATTTATATTTAAACATTTCAATTGTAATAGTCAAATGCAACTGAGAATCTAACATGAGTAACATGACGAGTACAGAAATAAGAAATTTTCTCATTTACATGATTCTTCCATAAAGTAAAATGCTATTAGAAATTCATAATTGTTTCTATATACATATAATATGAATTGATTTTATATTAATTTAAAGTTATGTCTCATAAATTATAACAAATTGATTGTTGGTTGCCACTTGCTAGGGGAGAGAATGTCATCATCTTCGTCTTCACATAACTTATCAACCACATCCATTTCCTCGCAATCTTTTCGAGGAAAGACTGATATAGCATGGGGACATGTTCTTGAGAGTGTTGATAAAGATGGAAAGAAAATATTATCTTGTCTTCATTATGGCAAGGTTACTAGAGGTGGTGGTATTTTCCGAATGAAGCAACACCTAGCAGGAGTAAAAGGGGATATTGGAAAGTGTCCAAAGGTTCCATTTGATGTTAAATTCCATATGAATGAATCACTAAAAGAAATAGGAGTAAAGAATAAGGAAAAAGAAGATTTCTGGAAGCAAATGAATTTGAGAGTGATCAATAAATGAATTTGAGGGTGATCAGTTAGATGAAGAAAATAAAGATGCTTTCCTATCACAAATGACCATGAATGAAGGTGGTAGTAATGGCGGTAAAAAACAATTTCTGAGTAGTAAGAGAAAAAAACCTACGGGGGTTAATTATTTTGCTCCACAAACTACTTCTGGGTCTCAGCCTTCAATTAGGAGTGTTTTGGCTGGAAAAGATGCAAAGTGGAGAGCAAACATGTCTGTTGCATGATTCTTTTATGATGCTTGCATCCTAATGAATGCTTTAAACTCAATTTATTGTCATTCTATGTTGGATGCTGTAGCTGCAATTGGCCTTGGTTATAAACAACCTACTTACAATGCTATGCATGTGAATTTATTGAGAGATGCTAAGAAGGAAGTCCAATTACTTGTTGACAATTATAAGAGTATTTGGGAAGAGGTTGGATGTACATTAAAGGCTAATGGTTGGACTGATACTTGCCATAGGTCATTGATTAATTTTCTCGTATACTTTCCTAAAGGTGTTTGCTTTATAAAATCAGTGGATGCTTTAGATGTTGTAGAGGATGCCTTTACATTGTTCAAGTTGTTTGAGGAAATGGCTTTATGGGTTGGTCCAAACAGTATTGTCCATGTTGTCACGGATAATGGAGCAAATTTTAAAGCTGCTGGAAGAATGTTGTCTGAGAAGTATGAGAATATTACTTGGTCGCCTTATGCAGCACATTGCATAAATTTAATTTTGAAAGATATATCTGAGCTGGACCACATAGTGCATCTTGCAAAATGTGCTTCTAAAGTAACCAAGTTTGTGTATAATCACACAATTTTGATAGCTTGGTTGAGGAAAAGAGAGGTAATAGCTTATAAACATTTAACTCATGTTTTTGTCAATTTATTACATAATAAACATTTTGTAATAATTTACTAACATCTATTATGTATGTATCACTCGAATAGGGTTGGAAAGAAATCATACGATCGGGTGCAACTCGGTTTGCTACTACTTTCATTGCATTAAGAAGTCTACATGAGCACAAACATGACTTGCAAGCTATGGTGACTGATAGGTTTTTTGTGGACTCTCGATATGCTAGAAGTAGTAAAGGCAAGAATGTTATTCCCATAATTCTAGATAATGAATTTTGGGATGACATGGGTTTAGTTTCCAAAATTGTGGCTCCTTTGATGCGTTTGTTACGGACTGTAGACTCAGATGAGAGACCTGCAATAGGATATGTGTATGATGGCTGTCAGTAAAACACTGAATGGTGGTTAAGATAGTTTAGTTTAAGGGAGGATGTTAGTAAACTGATTAATAAAGTTGTTAAACTGTGTTAAAAGTTGACTTCTGAAACCGAAAGTTCTTCAGTATCTCCAGCCATGGCGTCTTCACCCTACCTGTTATCTCTCCCAAACTTACCAGAGATAATTATAGATTCTGGAAATCACAGATTCTATTTGCAGTAGGTTCCATGATCTGGAGGAACATCTCACCGGTTTGATTGTGTCCAGCCCCCTTTATCAAGATCCAAAGTGAAAGTTCTGATGGAGTTACAGAAAAGAAACCTAATCCAGCTTATGTTCAGTGGAAAAAGACAGATAATCACTAGTAAGTTGGCTTGGATCATATCTGAATCAATGTTTTCTGTTGTGTCAAAGTGTCAATTTTCTGCCGAAATGTGTATGTTTTAGAAAAAGAGTTTCTTACGAATCTAGATCTAAACACTTACATTCAAGAACTTACACAAAAACAAGGAAAGATAATCTAAGTATTCATGATTACTTCATGAAAATGAAAGGATTTGCTGAAGTTTTATCTTCCAGTGGTATAACAGTCACTGATGAAGAATTGTTAAACTACATTCTTGATGGTCTAACTTCTGAATATGACGCTGCAGTAGTAAATCACCACTAGACTTGAGTCTAGACTATTGACACTTTCTGTCCAGGAAGCACAGATAATTCTACAAAAGTATGAGTTGAGGTTAGAAAAGGCTAATCTAGTGATGAACTCAATGGGTAAAACTGAATTCCAAGGTGGGTCTGTAATCTTGCCAATCTTACAACTGGTGAGAATCACAAAAAATATCATAGTGAAAATCGGCCTTCAATGGTCAACAGTCTCGGTTTACACCTATGCCACCTCTTGGCTTTGCATCCCACAATTCAAGTACTCCTCAAGTTTCTCATGGATCTAGTCACTTTGTTCCTGGATCTAACCATCTTGTTAACTCAGTTCCACAGCACCAGCTTTACTCACCACAGTTTGGTGGCAGAGGGAGAAGGCGTGGATCTGGTAGAGGCAGATTTATATGCCAAGTATGTGGAAAAAATGGACACTTGGCTCTCAATTGTTATCACAGATTTGACACAAGTTATACAGGAGATATCAATCCACTGATCAGACAGAATTTTGTTCCTAATTACTCCAGACCACCTGCTGTTTATCAAGGTTCACCATACTCCCCTCAGAGCACATCTCAGCACCTATAATCCAACATATCAGCTGGTGCACCATTCTACACTAATTCTACAGTCAAATGCAACATCAGCTCACTTTCCCGCAGGATCATGGGCAGATTCAAACAAATGATGAATCCTCCACAACTACACATACCTCCTCAATCAAGCATTTTTAACTCCAACACGTCACCAAACTATACCAACTCTGTTGCCAATTATGTTGCTGCACCATCCACTGTCCAAGATGTCTCTGGTACATGGACTCAGGAGCTATAGATCATGTAACAGCTGATCTCTCTCAGCTTTGTTTCAATTCTAATTACACTGGAAATGAGCAACTCCAGGTTGGAAATGGTGAGCTTTACCTATACTATCTCATAATGGTTTCACTTATTTACCATGTCAATCTAAGTCTCTTTATCTTAAGCATGTCTTGTGTGTCCCTAGCATCACCAAAAATCTGTTAAGTATTCTAGATTACTAAGATAATGGTGTTATAGTTGAATTCTTTGCTGACCATGTGTTGTTAAGGAAAACAAATCCAAGGTAGTTCTTCTTCAAGGAAGACTTAAGGATGGCCTTTACCAACTTCAAAGCAGCCACTCCAAAATTCCCTTTGCCGGATGTCTGCAAAACCTACAGCCACAGTCTTCAACTCCTCAACCAGAACACTGCACCAAGATCAGTCTATCCAAACCAGCCTCTTCTTCTGTAATTTCGATTTTGTTGAACCAACTTAAGTTCTAATAATGAGGCTTTAGAGTCTCTTGCAAATGTATCCTCTTGTGAAAGCTACTAGTGATAATAATACACACATTTCAATCACTTGCTACTGTCAAAACCAATGGAATGTGTGGCACAAAAGTTAGGTCACCGAATGCAAATGTTCTTTCCAAATTCTGCATATTAAAAAAAACAATATGTTCACACACCTTGATTTCTGCACTGCATGTCAATTTGGTAAACTTCACCAATCAGTTTTTCCTAGAAACAATTCAAGAGGCTCTCAACCCTAGAACTGATTCATTCAGACCTTTGGGGACCTTCTCCCATTCCCTCACTGAAGGTTTTCGTATTTACATTCAATTCCTAGATGACTATAGCCGATCACTTGGATTTTCCCACTGAAAAACAAATCAGAAACTCAACATATCTTCAAACAGTTTCATATTCTAGCAGAAAAAACAATTTAACTTCACCATAAAATGTGTTCAAACAGATTGGGGGGAATATAGAGGTTTAGTTCCATATTTTCTTGATCATGGGATTGTTTTTAGGCATCCATGTCCTTATACCCCCAACAAAATGGAAGGGTTGAAAGAAAACATAGACAATTAGTAGAACAAGGTCTAACCTTCTTGCTCAAGCTAACATGCCTTTAAAATTTTGGTGGCTTCTTTCCAAACCGCTGCTTACCTTACAAATAGGCTGCCCACGTCTGTATTATCTGGTTTGTCTCCATTCAGTTTTGTTTAAACAAATTCCGTTAATAGTGTATTAAAGTCTTGGTTGTGCAGTCTATCCTTACCTTAGACCTATAACTCACACAAGTTGATTTTCACACCACCACATGCACGTTTGTAGGATATAGCATGCATCACAAAGGATACAAATGCATGGATTCTAAAGGCAAGATTTATATATGTCAAAGTGCTAAATTTGATGAAAACCATTTTCCTTTTGCAACCACTGAACTGTTGCATTCTGTCTAAAAAAAATCAATCTCCACAGTTTCTCTCTTGTGATAAAAGCTCATTTAGAGTCATACCTTCCTTGACCACTACACGTGTGTCTCTTTTTCTTCACCACCTTTTCCTACAATGGTAGCAAAGGTCATCTATAGCTCCACTATCAAAGTCTAGTCCACTTTCCAAATCTGTAATATTTCAGCTCACCCTTTCTTAGTACAATCTCCTCACATAAAACACTAAATGCTGATCCTTTAGAAGAATCTTCCTCCCGCTCACCTAGTACATTACCAATCACCTTTTATAGAGTCTTCTTCAATCTGTACATACGTCAGTTCTTGAACCTACTAAACACTTTGTCCAGCCTCTTACAAACTCTCCACTACATTACCAGACAAATCTACTAGTTCTCCTGAATCCATTCATCTTGTGTAGATCTTCCCTTTCCTAAACACCAGTCCACTCATGCCACCATTGATACCACGTCCATAATTCACATTCATTAAATACTCACCCCATGGTTACTCGGTCTAAAGCTAAAATTCCTATATCCATGTTAGTTTCTTTAGTTCGCACTTAGATACAAGTGAACCAAAGAGTGTAGCTGAAGCTCTACTCATCAATCCTGGAAAGTTGCCATGGAAAGTGAGTTCAAAGCTTAATATCCAACAATACTTGGGAACTTGTTCCAGCTGAATCACACATGAACATAGTTGGATGTAAATGGGTTTTTCGAGTAAACAAAAATTCTGATGGGTTATCAAAGGTTCAAAGCAGACTTGTTGCAAAAGGTTCAACAAAACCCCGGGATTGATTATCTTGAAACCTTCAGCCCCGTTATGAAGTCTTCTACCATTCGAGTTGTTCTAAGCTTGGCTATTACATATGGCTGGGATATTCAGCAAGTTGATGTAAATAACAGTTTCCTCAATGGAGAGCTTAGTGAGACAGTTTTTATGACTCAGCCATAAGGTTTCATTGATGATAAAAAGCCTCTTCGTGTGTAAATTGGTAAAGGCACTCTATGGACTTAAGCAGGCCCCTGGGCATGGTTTGAGAAGCTAAAAAAGCCTTCTTGCAGTGGGGTTTTCTCTGTTCAGTTGCTGATCCAGTCTGTTTATTACAGACACAACAATCAGGTTATATATGGTGTGTATAGTTGATGACATATTATTGACAGGAAGTGATGAAAGTTAGTTCAAGATATTGTGTGCAAACGAATCTTGAGTTTGCCTTAAAAACCTTGGGCTCTCTTAAGTATTTTTTGGGATTTGAAGTTCAAAGAACAGATTCAGAGAATATGAGTCAAGATAAATATGCACGGGATTTACTGATTAAAACTGGAATGTCAGACTCCAAACCGTGCTCCACTCACTGGCATTAGGAAACAAATTAACATTTGAGGATAGTGAGCCATTTGACAACCCATCTCTCACCGAAGTACCATTGGTGCACTACAATATCCACACTATCCCGGCCTAAGATTGCATTTCTGTCAACAAATTAAGTCAATTTCTAAAAGCTCCCACTAACTTCATTGGCAGCTTGCAAAAGACTTCTTCGATATATAAAGGCACTTCAAATTTTGGTGTCAAGTTCACCAAAATACAAGATTTCATCTTGAAGTTTCACTGCGCTGACGGGCAGGAAGTATTCAGGACAGACGATCAACTAGCGGTTGCCGTTATCCTTGGATCTAACTGCTGCAATGGAGCTCCGGGAAACAAAACGTAGTGGCCCTATCTTCTACTGAAGCTGAGTAAGAGCTTTGCTCAAGGTGCAACAGAAATAGCCTGGTTTCATAGTTTATTCACTGAAATGGGTCTGCATCTTCCGAATTCCGTTTATATGGTGTGATAATCAGAGTGCTAACTCACTTGCATCTAATCCAGTTTTCCATGCTTGAACCAAGCATATTGAGTTAGATATGCACTACATCAGAGAACAAATTGCAGCCAAAAAGCTAAAAGTCTGCTATGTCCCTACAGAGCACCAAACCGCAGACATTTTTACCAAATCCTTGTCCACTACGAGATTTGAAGCTCTCAGATATAAACTTACGGTTGTTTCCTCTCTTTCACAGGAAACCTCAGCTTCTAAAGTCAT